GTCCTATCTTCAACGCTCTCTCGGGAGACTACCTTGCAATCACCAGAGGACTAATTGATTGACTAATTTTCCGGATTCAAAACCTAATGGCAACATGTCCATAACCTGTGTTCAAGTCCTTTATTACTTTCACTTATGGTTGAGGACCCCAACATGAATTTCTGAAGCAGCCTGTCGTGTTCTGCAGGAGTTCAGGGACACCATCCTCAAGGTTGCACCTGTCGCAGGCCGTGAGTTGCGGTGTGAGATTGTGGAAGACTTTTGGGATTGGCAAAGCTTCCTTGAACCTGCGAACGTGCACCTGACTGGGGTGACCATCCAGCACCAGATGGAATCTGTCAACCATGGTTTCCGGTTCATGAAGCGGTCAGACCTGAAGTTCTACAAGGGGAATGATCCTCATTTGCGTTTTTTTGGGTCGGGGACATCCAAGGAATCATTATCATGCGGTTTGTAACATTTACCTCTTCATAAGTCAATGTTTATCTAGAGTAATTAACTGGCGCTCTTGTTTCCTTCTTTGGAACTTAACACAGGGGTAAGACAAAGTCCAGCAAAAAAAATCGAGTTGAAGAGTCAGAAAGTTCAAATGTTACCCATTTGTTTCTTGGAACTCCCTCGTACCAAATCTGTCGTAACATAGGAAGACAACACTTTGAAACATATCTGAAGCTGTCTATGCTCAATCAACGAGACCCTCAAAACCTGTTTTTAGCCTGGCATCATAACTCAAGATGCCTCCTCCTGCAGCTATGGGACCCTTGTTTGATCACCTATGCAAAGTATGCTGGTTGGTCATTAGCCGTTCAAACAATCCTCAACAAATGAGGGAACGTTTCGAGCGCTCAAGAGAAGCAAGTAGGAACATTTGTGATACTCTGGGAATGAAACCCTTGACGAACCAGTTGATCAAGTGGTGGGAAATTGTGACGACCGTAATGTCGACTGAGAACAAAGCGGAATTTACTTATGTACCGTGGCAGAGCCTCAATCCTGCCACTCTTAGTCGCACAAGTCCACTATCAAGCCTTCAGCACCTTCCATTCATTGATGTGCTGACAGCAGATCTGGACGATGGCATCACCTTAATAGCTAGCATCGAGGACGGATTGGGGACTGAGGGCCTCAATGTTGAGGCGAAAACTTGGCTCCAGGATTTGCGCGAGACCATGACTGACATTTTCTCAGTCTGCAATATCTGAGTGAGGCTTCATCCCAAACTCAATTCTGATTGGTCTTTTTGAGCTCGCTTAACGTTAGTTTTTGTACTCAGCATGCAATCTGCAGGTCTGAGTTTCGACAATGGCAGCGCGATCAAAAAAAGCGACGCGACAACTAATCACGCCATTAATAAGAATATTATGTTTCCATAGCGCATCCCCGGCAAATGGATTGTTGAAAGATGTTTGATGGTTTTGTCTCAAACTTCAAGTTTCGGGAGCTGTTATCACTCATGGGCAAAAATGATGGGTCCCCACGCAGTCCCCCTTGATTTGGACGTCCTGAGGAACACTGGGAAGTTCAAGAGCTACCCGATCAGGATGCCTCTGAAGATGATGTGGTGCTACTTGTGAAACAATTCATGAACCACACCCATCTTTCCCAGCAACCTCTTGTCATTTTGAGTCGCAGCACTTTGGACCATATGCCACTGACAGGTCCCACAGGGGTTCTCCCAAGAAACCCCCTGACAGAGAAACTTGTAAAAGAGTATGAGAAAACTGCAAAACTCGTGGAGCAAGAACCCTGGAACTTGCACAAGGCGGCTGAATACCTGAGAACATGGACATCGGACAACCAAAACAATTCAGAAAAGGAACCTCCCAAGTTTCAGTTCGACATGATTTCTCATAGCGTCTTGAAGTCTGCATTGACCCCCGAGCATCAGCTTCTTCAGGAGTTTGCACCCGACCCGCCAAAAGCCGTCACAGTCGAACTTGGACCACCACCTGTCCCAAAGGCTAACAAGGCCAAACCAAAAGCAGCCCCAGCACCAAAACCCAAGGAGAAAGCAAAGGCAAAGGCTAAACCAGCAGGCAAGGCAGCAAGCAAGGCTAAGGCGAAGGTTAATGGCAAAGCAAAGTCTAAAGCGGAAGCGAAAGCCAAAGCAGCTGCCCGCCCAGAAGCTCCTGAAGATGATGCTCCTTTTGAACTTATTAAATATGTTTTTAGTTGCCAATTCTTTTTATCATATGATCTTGAAGGAAATGTAGGAGATATCAAACTTGACCCACAGTGAGCTCCCAGGATCAGGATCCTCCCAGGCCTGCTGCTCATCGAGGCCGCAAGCGCAAACCTCAAACAAAGTTGGGGTGCTCCAAGTGCAGGTGGACATCATGCACGCAATGCCGTGCACGATACGATGAGTACTTGCAACATGGTGGGGCAGCAAGTTGATTCCTGATCCAAAGGGAACCGGGAGTCATGTAGCGCCAACCGTACCATTGACAGAATGGTATTTATGTTAGTCTTCTCAAAGTGTGGCTCGGGGGGGGTCAATGAAACATACTATTTAATGATATTGAATATTTTTTTGTAGCTTGAGATTCCATGTGCACAACCATTGTCAAATCAACCCCGTTAAGATCTTTGACCCAGTGAGCCATGGGAGTGTCACTTTGAAGAAAGGCTTTCAAAGATTTCTGGGAACTTGCGGTGTGGAAACCTGACTCCATCCATTGCAACACCAGCAACAACAGCTATGATTGCACATCGCATCTAGTGCAGTTGCAGTTGCTGACCTATCTTTGTGGTAGATTATACAATATTATACATTGACACATAGTATCTAGTTCAATAGCAACGTCGACTTGTGCCAGTAACATTTGCGGTTCTAAGCTGGGAAACCGGACAGCAGCTGCCACCGTGCAGCAGCAGCTGCCAATCTCCACCTGCCAGCAGCCAGGACTCTAGTGGGTAGAGCAAAAACTCGATGCAATTTTGAATCCCTTTTTTGGCAATTGGGTATACCCTTTTGTTTGCACGATACTTGAAGGTTGAATCTTCAGTACTCAATGGGCCGGGGCAGTGAATGCCCAGTGCATCAACTCCCTTTCGGCAACCCCCACCGGCGACCAGCCAGGACAGTATGTTGTATGACAACTTGGAGGACATGGAGATGGAATCCATCGCGTCTTCCGGGGGACCACCTGCCTTGCCTAGCAGTGATTATTATCATGATGATGAGTCACTGTCAGACTCAGATCTGGAGCCTGCCTCAGATCCTGACCCTCTTGACGTGGCTGGAGACTTTTCTTTGACATATCAGAAATACATCACCAGTGGCACCATCATGAGAGCCCAAGACTTGTGTGAAGTCTTTTCACCTCCCAGAGTGACCTTGACTGCACGCAGGGCAGGGCTCACAGCGGACTTTGCGTTCGACATCACCTACAATGGCTGGGACGCATTGAACCCTCGGATGCGGACCGAACTTTTCCATCTCATTCGTGCCATGGACCCGAAAGTGCTCATTTTATCTCCGCCTTGTACCATGTTCTCGCCATTGACAAGGCATGTATGTTGTTTTCACAGGAACACATAGAATAAGTTTGAATCAAATGGTGTGTTCGAGGCTTTATGATGGTTCCCTATCATACCTGGATGTTTTGATCACTCCCTATGATAATATTCCCGCAGTGTTTGATTCGGCTTCCCTGTAGGATGTGGAACGTTGACAAGTGGACACCTGAGGAGTACGAATCACGTATGGCTGATGCTGAGGCTATGTTTGATTGCTCCCTCGACCTGTGTGAGGACCAGCATGCTCGTGGCCGGGGATGTGTGTTAGAACATCCCACTCCCGCCTCCTCGTGGAAACGGGACAAAGCCAGGCGAGTCATGGCCATTCCTGGCTTCCGACGCACCAACTTTGACCAGTGCGCCACTGGCTTGGTGTCACCCAGCAATGAGCCAATGAAGAAACGAACAAGTCTTTTGTCAAACATGGTTTCAATTCATGGTCTGTTTTCCCAACGTCAATGCACCTGCGCAGTGCCCCATCGCACAATTCAGGGGTCAGATCAGGGGCAACGTTTGTCAACGTTTGCACAACGTTACCCTGAAACCATGTGCAATGTTTTGGTGCAGGCAGTACAAATGACTATTTAGAAGTCAACACTGCTTGGGGGCAGTGTGATTTTGGTTGGGGGCCCTTGTGCTCTGACTAGAGATCAGTGTGAACTCGGTGTAGAGAAAAAAACGGAGTCAGTCCTGCAGGCACCGATGTCTTTGATTTCGTCAGAAAGCACAGCCTGCAATCAGTCAGAATGGTCACAGAGAACTGTTTTCGAAAGATGGTCTCAGTTTTCGACATGATATCTGCTTTTGAAATCGTCCTAACTTTTGCGAACTCTTCGATTTGGAGTGGAACCGATACAAAAAAAAAATCATTGTTTCATGATATCTTGATAACACAGTTGCCCGAGCAAAACCGTTATAAATTTTGTTTCCCGGAACCTTTGTAAAAACAAAAAACAAAATTTCACCACAAACTCTAGGTCACCTTGCTGAATCAAAAGTTATGGTGAAAAAAATTTTTCGCTATAAAATTTGGTCACCCCAATGATATCATCCTAACTTGGAGTACCAGAAGTGCATAGTATAGATCCAATGATATCATTGGGGTGACCAAATTTTATAGCGATTTTTTTTTTTCACCATAACTTTTGATTCAGCAAGGTGATCTAGAGTTTGTGGTGAAATTTTGTTTTTTTGTTTTTACAAAGGTTCCGGGAAACAAAATTTATAACGGTTTTGTGTTGAAACCATTTCTTTTTCGATCAGTGCCAACAAACATTATGGTTTCCTTGTGAGCAACTTTTGGATCTTCTCAAGCTCCGTCTAACAATCAGGGTTGATTTGAACTCATGGCTGACGAGTTCGACCGTGCGTCTACCGTGCCAGAAACCAGTGCCGACAGTGTCATGGATGCCTGGAATCTTCTTCCAGTGTCCGGGGATGTCCACAAAGAGGCCTATGCCAAGGCAATCCGTGAAGGCATGGCGAAGGTTTGCCAGGAACATGGGGGTCCTGAGAACTACCTTCGTGTGCGTTTCCAGAGCCAAGAGCATTTGCAGGAATGGATGAATTACCTCATCAACCTTGTGCCTTTGGATGCGGCAGAGTTCAACTTCTCTGCTGACTTACCTGGTACCAAGGTCGACGCTGTGCAGAAGGCAGCTATCCTAGGTTTCATTCACCTACATTGTTGTTTTTAGCAAGGTCATGTAGTATTTAGCAAATATGATACAGTACCTACATCTTTAAATATGTTTTGAGGAATCAGAAAAATCAAAACACGCCTCTTGTCAAGGTGAAGAGTTGCTGGCGGCAAAGTAGGTTGCACTGGCCTGCCCATGCGAAAAATCGACTTCATAATGGGCTAATCGTTAAAATTAAGAAATCCATGCGAATATCGATTGGTGGTTTCCAAGTGCATATCTTCGTAATTTATGTCAATTTCTTGTCCCAGCAGTATCCCATATTACAATGAGTCCTCCCTGCACTGCAGACCAAAACCTTCATCGTGCACCCAGCATGCTTCTCGTACGTGCCAGAGTCTTCAGTGAAGGGCCCGGCAGAGAATGACGTGGTCAATTTGATGATGGAAGAGATTTTGACTGATGGCTTCATCACTTCTGGTGAACCGTTGATGCTGCTCCAGAGTATTGGTCTAAGCAATGGACCCTACCAGGCAGCTGGTATGAAAATTTGTTCATATGAGAGATTGGCAGTCAGTTCTTGTTTTGAGCACAAGTATTGGTTCGTTGCACTTCAAACAAGAACAGAGTAGAATGAACATTATTTCACCCAAAGTATCCCAGTACAACTAGGTCCCGAAGCGTGACAGCTTAAAGGTCATGCAGAAGCCAAAGTCTCTTACTGTAGGAATCCCATAGTTGATAAAAGCTTTTAACTTTTGAAATATGAAACCAATGAACCGGCACAAACGTTCTGAGCCACTTTCCGGACATCAGGCGGTGGCTGCGCCTTGGAGGCAGAGTCTGGACACGATGATGCCTTTCAGCCTGGGGTACTTCAAGGCCAAGACGAGAGTTACTGTCTTGATGGCTATGCTGGCCCTCGCACGGGACATTGGCTGTGACAACTATGCTGAGGCCATGGTTGTTTACAAACAACTAATTGATCCATCACGGCCCGTTGTTTAAAATCAGACACTGAGACTATGCTTAAACCAGACCATGGGACAATTATTTTAATATCGTATCATCATATATTTGGGGCCCAACAAAGTAAAAGGAATGCAAAGCTTTGCCTGCTACATCTGTTAATGTGTGTGATATTTCGCATGGTTTGAGCTATTATGTATCATTTTCGATACTTGTTTCATGTTTTGTTTGCCTTCTGAAGCAGGAAAGAATGACTCGTAGCTGACAGGCCACTTGATAAGATAGTTTGAAACAAAACCCAACATCAGATTCAGCCACATCATGACTAGGTACACCCTGATCTTCTCAGCACTGTCCGCTGCATTCATGCAAAGCGAATGCTGGTGGCGTCGAAGAAGGAGGAAATGCTTGGGAATTTCAAGCTTTCTACTCGGGGTTCAATCCGCCGCGCTCCAAACGTCATGCCAGGAGCTTATTGTGAGGAAACAGACTCATAGGATTGACACGCGCAATGTGCATGTTGATTCTAAAGCGAGCTTACCTATTGCGAAGTTTTCATTCTCAAATCAATGATCTTATCCAGCTGCCACTGACGAAAATCAAAGATGGTAAGTCAACATGAGCTCACAAATGACTAAGAACATGGGTCACCACCATCAACAAGCTCATGGTGCACGAGCCGAACTTAGATGTGGCAGCATTGGTGGGCCCCTGAGTTCATCAGCTGGTTGAATATTCCCACTTAAGTCAGGGGATCTGCTCAGACTGCCCCAGCCCTGGCTGACCCTGTTGAGTCCGACCTGAGGTGAACGATCACAACAGCAGGAACTCGAAGAGTGGCCAACTCCTGTCGCAGAAGGCACAGTCCGTCCGAAACATCATGCAACATTTCGACAAGGAGGCACGCGAGGCACTCATTGCCTACACCATTGAGATCGGGCACGAAAACACTGGCTGGACCGATGACAACCTCTCATCAAAGAAGATTTTGCCAGGGTTTCAGTTATTTGGTCGAATACATAGAAACCAAGCTGTTAATTTTGGATACCGGTGAGCAATCCACCCACCATTTTTTCCAATCCTGTTTTGCCTGAAGCCCACCTCGAAATGCATAGATCCAGTACCATGTTCCATGCCATGTTCCATGCCAAACCTTCAAACATGCCCAGGTTCAAGTGCAATGCGGGTCCTGTATGGCAAGCTCGTGGCAAGGTCACCAAGGAGAGCAATCGGCTGATGGCATCTCCTCAGCACAATTCGGGGATTGGACGGTGTGATTTGTTCGAAGTAGGAAAAGGATTACACGTGTATCTAGATATCAGTTTATCGTTCAAGGTATCTATCGATCAAACTATCTACTTGTTTCATTGATGTATCTAACTGTGGATATTTCTTGGTCATGTATCTATATCTATCTACATGTATCTACATCTATCTACATGTATCTACATCTATCTACATATATCTATCGTATCTTATATTATCTTATTTTATCTTACCTTATCATATCACATAATCACATCATATCATATCATATCAATCTATCTATCTACCTATCTACCTGTCTATCTGCATATCTATATTTCTATCCATCTACCTACATATATATATATTACCTTATCTTTCTTATCATATCTATCTATCTATCTATCTACCTGCCTACCTACCTACCTATCTATCTATCTATCTATCTATCTATCTATCTGCCTATCTATATTTCTATCCATCTACCTACCTATCTATCTATCTGTTGATGTATCTCTTGGTTACCTGTCTTCCTATCCAAGTATCTATTTGTCTATCTACCTACATATCTGTAACTTTCAATATCTGTCTACCATCTATCTATACCTATCTATATGTATCTGCTTCTATTTATATCTATCTACCTGTCTATCTAACTATCTCTCTACCTATCTGTGCATCTATCTACCTATCTACCTATTTATCTATCTACATCTGTCTGTTTATCTTTGGAACGATCCATCTATCCATCTATCTACCAATCTATCTATCTATCTATCTATCTATCTATCTATCTGCCTGTCTATACATCTATCTATCTATCTATCTGTCTGTCTGTCTATTTACCTATGTATCTATCATTGGGGAATGTCTCAAAATGGGGTGTTATTTTACCCCTTAAAGTTTTCTGCTTGAAACCAAAAAAACACGATCCATATAGGAATCTATTTGGTTTTTGTATGTTTCAAAACTGGGGTGCCTGTGGATGCCCCAAGTCCTTGTGGCAGCGTTAAGAATAGGCCCAAAATAGAGGCACAAACTGGTGTCCGAAATAGGCCTGAAATGCAAGCTCAAAGCGTCAATTTTGGACACCACATACCCGGTATCTCTCAGCCATCTTTCCCTCCTATCAACTATCTCACCTATATCTATGTGATCTACTTATATATCTTTGTTCTATAGGGAGATACCTGTGGTGAAGTAGCAGCAGTACATCATATTAACACATCCGTTAGATACGAAAAACCATTGCTTTTATAGAGCACATGAGAATGATCAAACTAAAATTGCACAAAGAACGTTTATTTTCCTGTCATGCGAGCGTTCCATAGAATGAAAAATAGGCGAACACAGACTCCATGAAGATGTCTGTTTTCTTTTCTGAACATGAGGTCCAACACCAAGTGCATTGCCATCGCAAAATCCTACCATCTATGCGCAGAAAGATCGACAAAGCACAAATGGAGGCCTCGGCTGAGGAGGCAGCCTTCGTGATGTCTGTGAGGGAAGAGGTCCTGGCATTGATGCCGGTTTCCCCTGACTTGCTGGAGGAGAAGTGGGTTGGCATGTTTAGGCATGGGGATCCCAGTGTGCTTCTCGAAGTGCAATCAGCCATCATGAACCGGGACTGTACCAATGTGCGGGATATCCCCTCAATTGCTGCAGTGATGAACACGCACAATCAAAGTGCACCACTTCCGAGTGTGGCAGTGCATGAGATGTCGAAGTTGGAAGAAGAAACGTTCTCACTACGCATGAAACAACTTCAGTACGATGTGCAGGCATGCCGAGTGGCCAAGGCCAAGATGTCTTCCTATGAACTCCAGGTGCATCACACGAAGCTCCAATACCGAGTCAAAGTGTATGAGGAGTCATTAAAGGCGGCTAGGGTTTTCATCAACGACAATTGCAAGGTGATCACCTACACCCAAAGTGATGACTTGCTCCGGTCAATTCAGAGCTTCATGAGTGACAAAACCGAGCGCTTGAAACTCGATGAGTCTGGCAATGTCCCCTGACTTCAACACATCAAGTAAAAATGAATAGATACAAACCAAATATGTTTTACCTGTTTTTTCCGAGTCTTTGTCGTGCTCTTGAATCTCAGGCATGCCTGGTTTTCCTCAATTGGAGTGCTCCTTCGACACTGAAGGCCAACGCACGGGCCGCCCAATCATCTGGCGCCTCGTTCATCTTGTCCCAATCAGCCCGCAGTGTTGGTTTGCTCCTGGAGCCAGAGTTCACTTACAAGAAAGGGGAGTTGTGGATGTTGGAGGGCAGCACCATGAAACAGTTGGCTCACCATGGAATCTCGCTGGATAAGAGTTTCTCTCTTCAGTTCAAAGAGAAGGCCAGTCAGCATTGATTGAATCTCTTAGGAAACAGTTGCGAAAGATGATTGAATGGTTAATCATCAGTTTCAAGTCTGTAGAAACAGTATGTTACACCCTGTGTATGGGCAGAAGTAACTAACTATCTATTTATCTATCTATCTATCTATCCATCCATCTATCCATCTAGCAATTCATCTATCTATCTATCTATCTATCTATCTATCTATCTATCTATCTATGTATATATATATATGTGTGTGTGTATTTTTACATCTATTATATAACAGAACCTACCTTTGCCATACACATAAAGTCCCAAGAATGCATATGGACACCTGGTATCAGCTGAACCATCCAAACAACCTTACCCGTGGCTTCTCTGTCAGGTGGACCAACGTGACAACATGCGACCACTGAACTACCGTGGCCGTTTCATGGAAGGGCTGAGTACCAAATCCAACAAGGAGTTCACTTGGAAAAACGCCCCTCTGTGGCGTGAGGGTCGCACTGAACTTGCCACCCAACTCCACACCAAGGACATGGTAATGATTGAAACCCCCCTTGAAGACCAATCCCGCGGTGTTGCAATCAGTGCTCCTGAAGGCGAAGAGCACCTGTTTGGTGGTGCCCGAAAAGTGGAGCAAATTGGCCAGAACGCATGTGAGAAACTCTTGTTGGGAATGATGACTGATTTGCAGATGACTGGGAGATCAGGGGTGTTCATCGTTGACTTGAACATGTCAGTAGGAAACATGTTCGATGCTTTTGCGAATCTGAAGTCTACATGGAACATGCCCGTCTTCTACATTGGGTGCACTGATGACTTTCAGACCGCGGAGTGGTTTGGCATGCAGAAACCGGTCACTTGTTTGAGATCCATTACATGGTGGGGGCCCTCAAACCTTAACATTGATAACTGTGGCATACAATAACCCCAAAGAAGTTTTTCCCCTTGAGTTTCCCTCTTATCCTTTACGTAGAGAACCATATTGTTCAAAATGCTCCATGGCCAGTTCTTCCAAATCTCGATGAGTATGACCCAACCCACTAGGCCCCAGGGATCCATTCTCTTTGAACCTTAGCTATGTTGCTGTGAAATGGGAAAATGTTCAGATCCATATGATGCTTCATTGCGAATTTGCGGTTTTCCTGAATACTACCCAGTGCCCATTTGGCCCAAAGAAAATCATAGTCCACCCAATTTAATCTCTTCACTATATTGCTTTTGGGGAGGAATTGAAAGCATATTGTTTGGATTTGGATGTCTTAAATGCAGCTCCAGATAAAATATTATGAATGCACATTACTTGGCCCACTTGGTTATTTTTCTCTGGATATCATCCACTTAGATTTTTGGTGATCATCGTCGAAACAGGCCAACGACCTCTAAGGAGATCGTGGATTGATGAGAATAAAAAGACATCATGGCATGAAATCTTGTTTTATTAGGCTTATATATGTAGCATATATATATATATGTTCTTTTCCATCAATCGTTATTATGTCAAAATGGTTTCTGATAAAAAATAACACATGTTATGCGTATATACACACGACTCCGGCAACGATGTTTGCCCCTGAAAAGACATTGCCCAGGAATTGCTTGGACGCCTTCACATGGAGGGAAACATAACCATTCCTGGATTCCCAAAGCCAGTGCTGGAATGTCCCTCTGACATTCTGGAGAAGGAACCAGAGCCTCCGCGCCTCAATTTGATGATTCCACGATCGGACTTCTACCCAATGATTCCACAGAACCTGCTGCAGGCGTGAGCAGGGTTGAATAAAAGACCAGTATAGGCTCAAATAGGTATAATATGGTACAATAACAAATTGCATATATCAATCAATGAAAAATGTCACTGTACAACACATAAGACTCTATATGATATGTATCCTGACACCTGCCCGTAGAAACATATATTCGTGGTATCCCTTTTCCAGGAGTATGGCTCACACGAGCAGTTCGGGGACGAGTTCAAGAGTTTCTTGGACCAGCTGGTGGAGGAGTTCGGACCCATCCCCCAAGATTCTGACAAGGAGACTGGGAAGGAGGACAAGGAGAATGGAAAGGACAAGGAGAAAGACGGGCAGAACAACAAGGATGGTGAAAACCGAACTGTGCGCAAACGTAAAAATGCTCAGAATGGAAATGATGCTACGAAGAAACTCAAGGTAGATACCAACAAGATCAAAACCATCGAGTCAGTAGGTGCAGGTGGTGCACTGTTGGAAATGCCTTTGATCAATGCCAAAATCGAAGGTGTCCAACTTCATCTGAAGCCCCAGAATCGTCCCTATTTGTTCAACACCGGAAATCAGGAAGCCTCACTCAAGGCAGGACTGATCCTTTGCGGATATGGAAAGGGCAAATGGAGGCTCGCTGATGCGCAATCACAGGAGGCCAATCCCCGGACAGAAGTGCTCTTCAACTTGACCGGCCCTGATGATTTCGTAGCTGGGATGTTCGGGATTCATCATGTATGGTTTGGGGTTGTAGACTTCAACCCCCAGCAAATGTATAAGAAGAATATTCTATTGTCGATATATGGGACCCTATTATTTGATTTAGGGTTGCAGACTTCAACCCCCAGCAAATATTCTATTGTCGATATATGGGACCCTATTATTCGATTTGGGGTTGTAGACTGCAACCCCCAGCAAAAGTATGGGAAGAATATTCTATTGTCGATATATCGGACCCTATTATTTGGTTTGGGGTTGTAGACTTCAACCCCCAGCAAAAGTATGGGAAGAATATTCTATTGTCGATATATCGGACCCTATTATTTGGTTTGGGGTTGTAGACTTCAACCCCCAGCAATTGTATGGGAAGAATATTCTATTGTTGATATATGGGACCCTATTGTTTGGTTTCGGGTTGTAGACTTCAACCCCAGCAAATTTATGGGACGAATATTATTTCATTGTGGATATGAGGGAACGTATTATTTGGTCTCGGCTTGTAGACTTCAACCCCCAGCACATGTATGGAAAGAATATTCTATTGTCGATATATGGGACCCTATTCTTTCTGTTATTCATTTATCTATGTGTTTATTTATTTCTTATTTATCATGTGTTGGTTTGTCTGTTTGTGGGTTATTGTTTTATACTATTTCATTGTTTTATTCCAACTGGGCTTGGAATCTGCCTTTTTCGCCTAAACTTTATCTATATCAGGTATCTATAAATCCGAAGACCACAATGCCCCATTCATGTTTGCTGCTGCATACCCCCATCAAGCTGTCTCGCCTCGCCAGGTACTCTTCAACGGGCACCTGAAGACCGTGTTCGAGGTTGTTCAAGCCCAGATGCAGAAGGTCCCCAAAGTCAAAGTTGCATACCATGTCATGGCTGAGGACCCAGATCAAAAGCGCCCGGGAAATTTCAATTTGAAGAGATCCCATGATGTGTGGTGGGTACCCGTGAGTGGTGGTGTTGGGGTTGCCCAAGAAGAAGGTGGTGACGACGAAGGCAATGGGTCTAGCAATGGAACCGCTGGGCAGCAGAATGCAGCCAAGTTGATCCCAAACACGGTGTGGAACAGTCATGCCACTAAGATTGTATTCTCAGTGAAATGGGGTGTTTCTGGATTGATGCCCATTCGGCCCCAAGTGGTGCTCATCCGAGAAGTGAACTTGCCCCCAGCTCGGTGCTGTGAGTTGTTTTAGAGATTTTCCGACTCAAACAGTAGAAAATGGAAATGGGATTACATTCATATTTTGAAAAAATGAGTGTACTTTGGGTATCGTGGCAACGAAGGCTCTGACATTGAGCCAAAGGCCGCTCCGCAACATGGGGGACTGGGGGCCTATTCAAGCCATTTGGATACAAAAAAACAATTGTGCTGTTGATCCTGGTCCCCCATGTTCCAGTTCCACGGGATTCGAGCCTCTGAAAGACCGCTCAGGCGGACCATGACCAGGGGAGGGAAAAATGCTGCTTTCACACCCTTGCTGAAGGTGAAATAGATCTTGACAAAGATTGTTTGTCCAAAACTGGATCTATGTCATTCTGATTGTACCAGTATCCTCCCAAAAGATATAATTTGGATTCCACTAGTCAAAACACATGAAACCCAAGTGTAATAAGTGGGGTGCTTATAGGTTTTTAACCGTTTGGCAAGTCCTTGGCAATTATCTCAATATCTTTAGTTGTTGGAATGAAACCCGCTGCCTCAATGAGCCACGGCGTCCTGCTGCCGAGGCCGTGCAACAACCCTCCACGAACAGCTCAGTTGGCAATGAGTGGATGAGCTAGGTGGGCAGGTGATCTAGACAGGGATTGATGAAGTCAACCTTTGTTATATCTGTTGATGGGGAGGGGCCCTCCAACTGTCAAACATATGGTTTGCTCTAATGTATCCACGGTCAATCTAATTTTTGGCTATGGGACCAAAAAAGGTTGCAGAAAGCTTTCCATAAATGTGCCAGTTGAAACGTAATGGCAATTTCAGAATGCTGCTGTACTTCCCATCAAATTACTGGATGCAACAACTCCAACCACTGAGTGCAAGGCATTGTTTGGGTTGATCGCCAGGTCTACTAACCCCCAATGGATTCAGAAATTGTCCTTTATCTGGATGTTACTTCCCAACTAATGGAACCCATGCTAATAGTGAAAAAATATAACTAACCATAAGTATTGCTGGCCCAACAATGCGTTTGGGGAATTGGTCATTATTGTGTAGACTGAGACTGCCCCAGTTTGGTGGTTATTTAGACGGGTTCCTTACTCTGATCTTCAGGGGGCATGATGAAGAACGGTTTCATCACTACTGTAGACGCCAGGTACGTTGACTGACGCAGCAAGCGGGTTCATATGACCATGGCTGCTGCACTTTCCTGTGAGTTTTTTTCTGGGCTTCAGGATTGGGATTTCCCCAACACGTATTTCGACGAACCAATCAAGACATGGGTTTTGTAAACCTCGAAAAATACGAATGGTCGCAATCTATTTCCAGTCACCGTTGCAGCCAATGATTTGCGAATAGATGTTTTGGGAAAGAACAACAAGCCCCTTGAATTGATGATGGCAGCAACCATGGTAGCCTCGCGACGTTGCAAGTGGAATGTTCAGCAAATTCCTATTGACAGCATCTGATTTGGAGCATTACCTATAGATAGATGGATAGATAGATGAAGAGATAGAGAGAGAGAGATAGATAGATCGATCGATCGATAGATAGATAGACAAATAGACAGACAGATAGATAGATAGATAGATAGGTGGATGGATAGATGGATAGATAGATAGATAGATAGATAGATAAATAGACAGATAGATAGATAGATAGATGAAGAGATAGATGAAGAGAGAGAGAGAGAGATAGATAAATACATAGATGAAGAGATAGAGAGAGATAGATAGATAGATAGATAGAGATATAGATATAGATATAGATATTCCCATTTTTTGTGTTACCTAAAACTAGACGATTCGGATAATGAATTGCTTCAAATTTCTCATGCTGAATGGTGCAAACGTGAGCCGCAGAAGGCACAATACTGCCAATTGATGTCAACAAGTTTGGAACAAACATAACATGGATTCTGACTTTCTTTGGCAGTGTGCCTACTTGGTTCTGCAGAGCCGCTTGTCTCACCAGCAGGTTCCGTCACCCGCGCCATGACTGGGTACAAAATGGCATCAACAACTTGTCGCTGGCGCTTCTGTGTCGGCACATCATACACATCATCTAAAGTTCTGGCTGATGTCCCTGTCACTGTGGATATGATTGATGTGCTTACATGGCCATCCTTCATGAGGGTAACAGCTGTCTTTTTCCAAGAATGTGTTCCTACTTTTGACAGATCGACATCATCAAAGGTGTGGGTTTTTTCTGCCCGATGGTGCTCCACCCTTTGCTTGCAAAGGATGTCACATGTTTTCCTGATTTGTTTCAGGAAAGAACGTTCGGATATTGGTTTGTCTATAACTGGCTTGTTCTGCCCAGATCCAGTCCGAGCGCAGAAAAGATACCTATCTTCGTTTCTCAACACAGCACCATGTAAATCTTGAGCATCCAAAGGCCATTGTGCTCTTTCGGATTGAAGCGGTTTTTGGGTAATCCATGACCAAAGAAGCCTAGCAAAACTTAGCGGTAGTGGGACACACCGTGGGTGAGTCTTACCATTCACTTGTGGAATGTTTGCCTCAGGCAAACCTTTGCCATGAGGATCTATGTTCTTAAACCAGTTTGTGCTAGCTTGCCTTGCTGCATCTGCCCGATCACCTGAACAGAGTTGTACAAGTAGGAGTGCGCCTGCCCATGGTGCATGGCACTCATGCACAACAGTTGCAAAAAATAGTGAGACTTGTTCTGTACTGAGCGCTTCTCTACCTCCTCGTTTGTTTACAACTTTTTTCCTGCAGAGTTCCAAATGTTGTTGGCTGCAAAATTTCACCAATCGTGCTTGGGGCCTCAAGGACCTACAGCAGGATTCATCCACTTCAGCACGGCTGAGAGCAAATGGTTTATTCTTGCAATCAGTTGTTTTGTTGCGACACTTTGCATTGGCGAAAAATATGCCAATTGATCGTCCCTTTCGCCTCGCTGGACCCCTTTGTGGACCGCTTTTGCTTCTACGTTTCGGTGGCTTTGCCATGGCTTGAATTAAATATCGAGCTAGGCTTTCAACGCTACCCAATGTAAGAAATAAGTTAGTGATTAGCTAAAGAACGCCCCAAAAACCAGAAAACCAGAAACCAGACTTTTGGTGGTGCCTCACCGCGCGAAACAAGACTTTTACCCGAAACCCCTGCAAAAATGGGGCCAAGACCGGTTCCGAAATGCGGTTCTGAAATAAGGGTGGAAACAGAACCGGTGTGCCTAAAACCACTTTTCCCTGGAAAAACCCAGGTGAACCCAGTCCAAAAACCAAAAATAAAACAAGACTTTGCTATCTTTAGCCTCTTTGCTGTGCAGGGTGGAAACAGAACCGACCCCCCAATTGGAAATGCCACATCTCCACATCTCCACTCTTGACTCCTTGCTTGCCTGCTTGCTTTGAGCAGCTGCTGCGTGAACAGGCCCGGCGACCCCAGCCCAATGCAACTGTGCCCATCTCCCTACATACAGCCCCCACTCACCATTCTCCAAGAGAATCGCCCTCCCTCCCCCCAGCCCTGGCCCTGCCATAGCTGCAATGGGTACCCCCTACAAAAAAGAAAACAAGGTTTAGGGCAAACAAACAGGCACTTGTCTGGGCCCACCACATCTTGAACATTCTTACTCTTGAACATTCTTATCATTCTTACAGCTCCACCCAAATGCTTTGCCCTTCCCTACGCCACCCACCCAGGATCTTTCTCCTCACTTGGCTCTCTTGCGCCCTGCTGGCTCCGGCTGCCATCTCCCCTACACCCATGGCAGTCTCATGTGCCCCAGCATCATCATAGATACAGATACATGATGCATGCATACATGCATACATGCAAACATAATACATTACATACATGGCATGACATGACATGACATGACATTACATTACATTATGCATACATACATACCTACATACATACATACCTACATACATACATACATACATACATACCTACATACCTACATACCTACATACATACATACATACATACCTACATGCATAGATAGGTAGATAGATAAATAGGTAGACAGATAGATAGATAGATAGATAGGTAGATAGATAGATAGATAGACAGACAGATAGACATACATACAGTCTCGACATTTTAACAGCATTGCATTGAAATTTGACATTAAAAAACAGAGACACCACCAGAAATCAACGAACAAAACAACAAACCAAGCCACGCAAACCTAGAACGTGCAAAAGAAAAAGCAACTACAACCATGGAAAAATGAAGATACCCAACGACTAGTAGTTATGCAAATCCAAACAACAAAATAAGAGAAATATGCACAAATAAAAAAAAAACATTGCACATAAAAATACCAGAAAGCAACACAAAATATAGCAAAGAACACAGGAGCAAAGAACATAATTTATCATAGCAGTAAGCCTAAGGATGAGAGAAAACAATCCAGAATACAAACAACATATATAGTGTGTTTTTATGTATATATATATATATAATTAATATTATATATATACACATAATATACACTCAACCCTAGAAAAAAATCAGAATGAAACAGGATGAGGTAAGAGAAGAAATGAAAAATACAACAGATTCGAAACCAAGAAATAAAGGAGATACAGATAGGGCAAAATAATGCTGAAAACAAGTAAACCAAAGATAAAGAAACAAATAGAACAAAACCATAGCATACCACTAAGTCAAATATCCCCAAATTGAAATCCCATTTTTTTTGGAACCTTTGCATTAACAGAAGCCCCCTATACAAAAAAATCTTCTTCTGGTCGGCTGTGCGCAACGCCTGGACCGCCTTTGCATTGGCCGTCGCCAGGAGGATGCTTCTCCTCTGTTCAGCCGGCGTATCGCCACGCCCCATCAGCACCGGGGCTGCCTGCGCTGAACCTTTTCCTCCTTGGTCATGTGTGAAGAGCTGGCGGGGTCGACAGCCCTTGGCGAAGATCCTTTGCCAGGACAGGTTGGGACTGAGCACCCCATGGATGATCGTTGACCCATCCTTGCCCGTCTCCACATCCTGCTTGGTGCCTCTGCCACGTCCCCGAAACCAGTATCCAGGGGGTCGCGCCCAAGCCAT